ATACTGTTTCGCCCATGAATACCCCCCATACGTTGCCATTCCTGAGGACTGAGGTGTTGGTTTGTTCACTGTAAATTCACGCCATATCCCACCCTTCAAACCGAATCACAGCCATGCAAACACAACTGCTTTACGATAGAAACACGATTGGGACAGAGGTGCAAACGACTTTTGTACAAAGTCTCCCTCTGGTGAATGATGATTAACTATGCTTAAATCGCGTTATCTTGTAAATTGCACCATACGGCCAGGCAGCATTGTTTACGAATTTCGGTTGTTACATTCAATAACATTTTTTGTTACATATATTTTTTTCATGTACGTAAAACCATTTGGTTTAATAACAGTTTTCCTTTTATAAACATCTTCGTTTAGTACAATGATTTATATACAATGATTTAAAAATGTTTAGCACACATAATTACCTACGTCAATACTTGGCATTTTTCATTTGAGACTAGCTATTTTACGCGGATATGCTTGCATGAATCGATATATAAAGTGTCCCATTTCTTAAGGTTTTTTTTAATGGATGATAATGGTATGGTAACCCCGTCTGCGCTATCGGTATACACTGGCGGGGCACCAGTGATAGATGACTGATGAGGCTGAAAGCAGGTCATTTAGCCCATTCTGACGAATTCAATTAGAATTAGCCACAATGGTTTCCAAGGGGAACCAGGTGGAGGTCGACCTGACTAGGTATATTGCTAGTAATGGGGTTATTTGTCCCCATTACTAACAATCCCTTTCCCCTCATTTCTTAAGTTAGGATATGAGAAACTAATTCAAATCCTTATTCATTAGTTTGGGGGAAAGGGATTGTTAGCAATGGGGTCTAACTGACCCGTTGTTAGCAATACATCCTATCAGGTTAACCTCCACGGGTTCCAGCTAGAAACCATCGTGGTTAATTCTAGTGTAATTTGTCACGATGGGCTAACTGATCTGCTTTCATCGTCACCTATCATCCCTCACTGGTGCCTCGCCAGCGTATACCGATAGCGTAGACGGGGTTACCATTACTTTATCACCCATTAAAAAAAATATTTTACAAGCAAATACAGATTGCTATGCGAGCTGTGTGGTCCTAGTGTAGAATGTGCCAGCCTTTTTTCCCACGGGTATCGTAAAAGGCGACTAATAGTAAATTCCCTTAGTCGCCTTTTACGACACTCATGTGAGAGGAAGGATTGGCCTATTCTATGCCGGGACCACACGGCCTAATATAATGATAAAGCTAATAATAACTTTTTTAAAATACACGCCGCAAAATGTGCGTGGACGGAATGGCGGTCGGAGATCGATGGCTAATATGAAGGGTTGTAGAACTTCTGGTAATAATAATAACAGTAAATTTTCAAGTATTGACACTCGCATTCATACTAATGGTAGCGGAATTAAACCAAATAATTCTAATCAAGTAATCAGCGATGTGGTCTTCCGCAAAATAACACCTAGTTCTTTTTTTTTATGCAACTTAGAATGGCAAATAAGCTGACGGCCCACCTTATGGAAAGTGGTAACCGTCGCCTATAGACATGAGCAGTACCATGGATCTGTTGAGTGTACTGTTTCGCCCATGATACCCCCAATGCGTTGCCATTCCTGTGGACTCAGGTGTTATTCCTGTGTACCCAGTAAATTCACGCCATATCCCACCCTTCAAACCAAAACACACAGCCATGCAAACACAACTGTTTCCCGGTAGAAACACGAATGAAACAGAGGTGCACAAGCAAACGACTTTTGTACAAAGGCCCTCTGGTAGTTCTGTAAAATATATTTATAACTGTCTATATTTTTTACAATTTCTTCCTTTTCTGCCATTAAACAGTACCGCATTACCGTCGTCTGGAATTGAGAAGCTTGGAGATTATAAAATACTTAATTAGAAAGCTGAAGACCTTCTGAAGTATTATATTAAAAATATGTATAAATGGTATCATTTCTCGTTAAAAATTTTTAAGTAATAACTTGTAAAAAGGTTTTATAACACAAAATGGGCTTTGCTAAAAATTACTTTGAGAGTAACATGCGAACACAAAAATAACAACATCGTAAAATTGACACTAAATTGACTTAAAATATACACTAGAACTAGGGAGAAGGGATTGTTAGTAACGGGGATTACATTGCTAGCAATATGCCCTGTCAGGTCGACCTCCTCGTGGTTCTCCCTGAAAACCATCGTGAACAATTCATAATTCATAAAAGGGCATATTGCTAGCAATGGGACTGCCAAACTCCATTGCTAACAATCTCTTTCCCCCCAATACCTATATATTGAACTTTTTTTTTTTACAACACGAGCAAACGAGCATTCGGCTCACCCGATCGTAAGTGGTCACCCACAACACCAACGGGTTTGAAGGTGTGCTGCCGGCCTTTTAAAAAGGAATATGCTCTTTTCTTAAAGGTTTTGTTCAAAATTAACCTTTTTGTATACTTTGACAATTGTAGTTTTTTATAAAAAAGAGAATTAATAAACAATTAAAATGAAAGAAAAATGCATACAATACATCAAGTCAACAGACGGCAATTTTACTTACAAATAATATAATTAATAAATAATATATACATAACAAGAACCAGCATATCGTCACAGTCGTAGAATACTCACGGATCTGACAAATATTACATATAAAGATCCGTCAGTATTCTACGACTATGACGAGGTGTTCTATGTGACTATATCGTCATAGTCGTAGACTACTGACGGATCTGACAAATATTACATATAAAGATCCGTCAGTATTCTACGACTATGACGAGGTGTTCTATGTGACTATATCGTCATAGTCGTAGAATACTGACGGATCTGACAAATATTACATATAAAGATCCGTCAGTATTCTACGACTATGACGATATTTTGCAAACAGGTTTATTATACTAAACAAATTTCAGTAACAAATATCGAAAAATTTATATTAATTTATATATATATATATAAAAATTTAAATAGAATAATAAAACCTTGACATAATTACCAATAAACGATCCACATATATATTGAATGTATAATATAGGTTCTACTAAATAATTCACTTAATAATTCACATCAGACATTTGAAAAGGGTCGAAGTGGCACTCGAGTCAAACAATAATAATATAAAGAAATAAAATATATTTTTCAATATTAATATTTTTTTCAATCTTCAGATATTGTTGAGGCAGGTTATTGAATAAGGTATTGATAGAAATTAATAGGTTAAGTTAAATAGATTACGAGTAGTTTAATTAATTAATTTTTTTATATTTTACTGTGGAAGTTTTCCCTAGAAATTACAATATGGGGTTCTTCAAAAAAGGTATATTAAGGTTCTTGAGTGGCGATAGCGTACAGGCAAATGCAGTGTAGAACGACCCCCGACTAGATGGAGTGACGACCTGAAATGCATTGCAGGGAGTCAGTGGATGCAGGTGGCTCAGGACCGTTCTTTATGGCAGTCTATGGGGGAAGCTTATTATTTTTTTATACGACTTAGAATGGCAAACAAGCTGACGGTCCACCAGATGGAAAGTAGTAACCGTCGTCTATAGACATGAGCAGTACCATGGACATAACAGAGTATACTGTTTCGCCCATGATGCCCCTCGCGCGTTGCCACTCCTGAGGACTCAGGTGTTATTCCTCCGTACCCAGTAAATTCACGCTATATCCCACCCTTCAAACTGAAACACAGCCATGCAAACACAACTGCTTCACGGTAGAAACACGAATGGAACAGAGATACACAAGCAATCGACTTTTGTACAAAGTCTCCCTCTGGTAAATTATATCCAGAAATCGTTTATATCTAGAAGTGGACGGATAGTGGCTGAAATGATGATGAATGACTGATGAATTAATGTAATTATATTGCAAAATACAAATAATTTACCTACACATCTACTCATCAAGTTCACACCATCTTCGCATTCCCATACAGCACTCGAACACTGATGATTGACGTTTTATGAGGTGTCATCGTGACACGGGTGAATTGCCTCCGAACACTGAATCGATATGAAGTGCCTCTGATTGTGAAGATTGGTTAGTTCTGTAAGTGGGTCAAGGTAGAGATACAATTGTATTTATTATAATGTATCGATATGTTTTGGCGACAAGATAGAAGATGGCGGAAATGTCTGTCTATCTGACAATTGTATTATGTTTATTCACTTGTTTGCTTCGCTTGTATGTACGGATAATAATATGCTTTCTTCAAATAATAAGGCTGTTCTCGGCTTTTTCTGTGTTACACGAAATTAAAGTGTGTTTTTATTTTTGGTTTCTTTTTTTTATATTACTATGATGGGAAAGAGGCATACGATCTATCTGATGGTATACGGGATTACTGTAGACTTTTACGCTTGTAATATATTTTTTTCTACAACTTAGAATGCCAAACAAGCTGTCAGTCCACCTGATGGAAAGTGGTAACCGTTGCCTATAGACATGAGCAATACCATGGACATAACAGAGTATACTGTTTCGCCCTTGATAGCCCCCATGCGTTGCCATTCCTGAGGACTCAGGTGTTATTCCATTCACGTCATATCCCACCCTTCAAACCGAAACACAGCCATGCAAACACAACTGCTTCACGGTTGAAACATGAATGGTGGGCTTTCCATCAGGTGGGCAGTCAGATTGTTTGCCATTCTCAGTTGTATAAAAAAAAAGATTATTCTAAATAACTGGTTTTGACACAATTAAAGTGATTTTTATTTTGTGGGACCCAACTGCAACTAGCTATAGCAAATTAGCTCAGTCAGTCAGTCAGTTTATATGTATAATACATGCATAATACAGTAAAGAAACACTGATAATTTTAGAGATTTCTAATGTGATGTGATGTAATGTGCACCCGTGAGAAGCCGGGGCGGGTCACTAGTATATTATATATTGCTAGTCCTCATAACAGGCAATCCATTTCCCCTCATAATATTTACCATTTAATTCAACATTTGCTATATGAAACGCAATGTAATTATTGCTATGTTTGTTTCAGGATTTCCGCTGCTGTATTTTTCGGTATTAATGCTGTAACTTCATTACCATCGGTAGCAAACTGTGACAGGTATGTTATTTTTTACTATTTATAAATTTTAAATACACAATCAGGACTTAATGTGACGTAAAAGCCTTTACAGGTAAAAAGTACATACTTGCTTCTTTAAATATAAAATATAAGAAATGTCGCCAAAATTTTTTATATGTAACAATCGAGTTGTTTTTACATATAAAAAAGTTTAAAATGATCTATAAATTAAAGAGTAAAGTAGCATTCTATACTCACTACATTCACTTTAATAATATGATTAAAACTATAATATTTTTTTATACTACTTGAAATGGCAAACAAGCTAACGGCCCACCTGATGGAAAGTGGTAACCGTCGCCTATAGACATGAGCAGTACCATGGACATAACAGAGTTATACTGTTTCGCCCATACTACCCCCAATTCATTGCCATTCCTGAGGACTCAGGTGTTATTCCTCTGTACCAAGTAAACTCACGCCATATCCCACCCTTCAAATCGAATCTCAGCCATGCAAACACTCCTTAAAAACTTCAATATTACCCCGTAGATACTATAATAATACGATGAGAATACACACTCTCTCTCTCTCCCTGCTTATGTTTTTCAATTCACATATAATCCGCATCAATTTAAGGCAAATGTAAATAGGCTACTTGTAGGTCCACGAGCTCCATCTTAGACCACATCATCACGTTCCATCAGCCGAGATCGTGATCAATCGCGAGAATCTTTAATGGTAAAAAAAAAAAAACGATAAATACAAAAATACAGCACAGGTTTCACGTACAAGTACGCACGTAGCGTTCGATAGGGGAACGCTCCAAAAAATATTTGAACGGAAAGCACAGTCCCGAAGCTATGATATTGGCTGTGTGTTTGAGGAGCAAATGTTGACGCAAGCCCTTGCTAGTACACGCATCTGATGGAATCTGATGGAAACTGTATATGTAAAGGAATACATTAAATAAAGTACTTGCTACAGCGTAAAGAAGAGACTTTCTCCTTCTGTTTTTTGAGGTAACTAGATGGTTTGGTGCTATTTAACATCATATCTGTCATTATTTCCCGTGTGATTCCGCATAGAATAGGCCACCCCTTCCTTTCCGTGGACGTCGTAAGAGGCAACTAAGGGAGGGCGAGGGATGGGCAGCAGTGTCTCTCTTAAAACATCTCTAAAGCCTAACTGCGGTTGCCAATCCGCCTGCCAAGCATAACTAGTAGAACTAAGGGAGGGTTTTGTAACTACTAGCAAAACCCTTCCTTAGTGGAAGCTTATGTTCAGCAGTACAGTTAAAAGCTGATATTATGATGATATGATAGAACATAGGCCTCCCCCATAGAATGGCATAAGAAACGGTCTCGAGTTTCTTACGTCTACCGACTCCCTGTAATATTTAATCTCGTCGTTCTATGTAGTAGGAGAACATACTGCACTGCGTTTCCTGTACAGAAATGTCGCCTTTTTACTTCTTCGATTGTCGTTTCTTCAGGCTATGCGACCAGCCCATTGCAACTTCAGCTTGCTTATCCTTCTGTCTATGATAGCAAGTTTGGTTCTTCTACGAATATCCTCATTTCGATTTCTACACCCGAAAAAATCTCCAAGTATAGCTCTTCTTAGATCACTGACCTACTTGAAGCTTCTGCATATTTTCAATTATGTAGTTGGTGCTATTAGCTAATGCATTGCTGACGTTAAAGAAACCTTATTATACTATTTTTGAAGAACCCCATACTTATGAGCGAAACATTATACTCTGTTAGATCCATGGTGCTGCTCATGTCTATAGGCGATGGTTACCACTTTCCATCAGGTTGGCCGTCAGCTTGTTTGCCATTCTAAGTTGCATAAAAAAGTCTTTAGAGAAAATCTGGACAGGGAGCTCAATCCACGATTTAAATCCCTCAAAAGAGATTTCTTCCAGTCAACCATTGAATGTCTGACAGAAATTGTGAGTTGGTGGAAGCAAAATATGATAGTTAATTAAAAATAGGAATTTATATACCTATTATTAGGTGTTACATCGTGAGCAATACACTGATATTGAAAAAATAACACATCTAAAACTTCATGGTTCTAATCATGCAAAATACATACAATATTCTAAATATGGTGGTACATAAATCTTGTACTTAAAGTATACAAATGTAGGAATAGAAATTAACATTGTAAATATAAACATGTAATAAATATAGTAAATAAATATATAGTAAATAGTACATAAAATATAGTAAATGTTTTGGCATGGATCTTCAGATCGAAGTTGAACGTTATCTAACCGAGATGTCATCGCTCTGACAACATCAACTTTTGAACACCAAAAGTCGTGTGTTACAGTTCAGGCAATCAGAAATGTGCGTGTCAATTAAAATTCCTAATGACATCTCTAGTGACGAAAAACTTTATTGATTAAATTGAACTCAATGACGATTGTAGACTTTTTTATGAAATATAGGATTCAAATCATTCTTAATGACATATGGGCATGGCAAGAGTTTTTTTGGTGGTCATGGAATGGAAACCTCACCTGCAATATCGGCATATGCTGGCGGGACACTAGTGATCGATGATAGGGGAGAATGGAGCCAGGTATTTTTTTTTATACCACTGAGGTGGCAAACAAGCATACGGCCCACCTGATAGTAAGCGGTTACCGTAGCCTATGAACGTCTGCAATACCAGAGGTATTACGCGCGCGTTGCCGACCCTGAAGAAGCCTCTTTACCCCATTTTTGAAGAACCCCATGCTGTAGTCTCTTGGGAAAACCTCGGCAGGGAGCTCATTCCATAACCTGAGTGTTCGTGGGAGAAAACATCTCTGAAACCGCGTTGTACGCGACCATTTAGGCTGTAAGGTATGAGGGTGAACTCCCTGTTAACCCATTGTGAAGAATTCGAGAAGAATTAATCATGATAATTTCTTGGGGGAACCGCGTGGAGATCAATCTGATAGGGTACATTGTAGTAATGGGACTCTTAGACCTCACTATTAACAATCCCTTTGCCCAACATGGGAAAATTTACGTTCACCACAATGGTGAGAAATGTGTCTAAATACTGTTTTAAGGATTACGTTTTATTTATTATATCAAGGTTGTTCCTCGCAACTCGCAAACAACAACGCAACAAAATACACACAACAATTTATTTTACACTAGTTGACAGCTGACCCTACACACATAATTCTGTCAAAACCCATTGAACTGTAGCAGTCCATATCGAATAAGAACAGTTTGTATTGAAACAAGAAAACTAGGGTTTTTGCGTCTGCTGGGCACTAATTCCTATATTTTTCTTCACTGGAAACTTCTACGGACATTAAAAAAAAAGTTATCGTTCTTATTATTTGATGAATTATTCGAATAAACAATAAAATTATGATACGCCGTTTTAAAGACAAAAGTGTCGTATGTTCATAATTCAAATATAAACACACACGCACGTCACGCGTACGCACGCATATACGCACGCACGCACTCACACATACACAGACACACACACACTAACACACGAATACACACGTATATTCATACGTAAAACAAATGCGAATTGTTTTTCATTTATTTTTTTGTATATTGTATTTAAGTTGTTGCAAGAATAAATAAATAAAATAATAATTATTAATAAATTAATTTAGTATAGTTGAATAATATATATAGTCGAGTATAAATATATGAATATACCGAATTTCATTCCCATCTGTGCAACTGTTTGAATATTAAAATTTTTACTAACTTTCTCATTTATAACTTAACTTTACCCATTACTTCGTATACGTGGATTTTAAAAGTAGAAAAATTAAAGAAGTCCTTTGTACAAACATTGTCTAGTTACGATTTTATTATATTTGAAACAAAAAAGAAATAGATTACTTGTAAATGGCGTATCAAGATCAAACCACTTACCATCAGGTGGGCCGTATGCTTGTTTGCCACCTCAATGGTATAAAAAAAAATCATATCAAAACAAATCTTATTCATAAAGTCATTCTTACGAATGAATACTTGAAAACTATTGTTCCCTTTAAAGAATGATAAAGTTTATAAAGAACAATATGTACATAAACAAAATGAACGCTTAATTACATAAACTTAATTATATAAAAGCAAGATAAAGAGGCAACAATGGGCGGCCTTATCGCTGAATAGCGATCTCTTCCAGGCAACCTTTGGATGGAGAGGAATAACTAAAATTGTGTTTGGTTAAGGCACAACAAAAAAAATATTAATACTGAAAAAGAAATTAATAGAAAAAAAAGGATATTTTAAAATGATTAATGTACATACATACAGGAGAAACTACTAGAGATGGGACTGACAGTCTGGATTACTACCAAACCCTTCCCCCCCTAATTTAAGGTAAAATGGCATGTAACTGGTGATACATTCTCAAGTTTTTAGCGCTCATTGTCTGACCCGAACTAATAAAGTGGGTATAGTATTACAATAGATCTATTCCGACCATATAGTCAGGGACGAACTCATTGAGTTAGTCATATAAATGAATATAAATGTTACGGTGTCTTGTTACCACTGCATCGTTTAAAGAAGGAAGTATCTATAATGTTTTGTCGATTTTGTAATAGCTAATAGTGGATAGTGCATTTCTATAGATAGATAGATAGATAGATACTCTTTATTGTTTCCTCCAAAAAATTTCAATAGTAAACTTATTATAAATATAAACAATTACAAGAAATAATCACAATGAGAAACAACGGGCGACCTTATCGCTAAAAGCGATCTCCTCCAGGCAACCTTTGGATGGAGAGGAGTAATTATAAACAATTTGGTGGGAGGCACGATGAAAAATTCTGTTAATTCTAAATGTGGAGATGTGATACGTGTACATAAAAATTCTGTGTTCCTGATATAAGAAAGAATTTTTAAAGAAATTATTACATTGATAAAATTTATACTAGATGGAGACTATACGTAAGTTGTCTGTGTAGGATATTTCTGTTCTTATTTTATATTTTGCTTCCAAAGTCTTTAAATACTTTTTCAAGTGACTTAAAAAAATAGGGAGTTCTC